TCACACTGTTAGATATTTCAAGGTTTGGACACAACTTTGATTTAGAGCCCTGCCTGTGAATCCAACCTAAGAGTATTTATGTAAAATAAAAATGAGTACGTCATCAAGGTGCATTGCCAGTCAAAAGTTTGGACATAACTTGTCATTTAATGGTTTTTCTTTATTTTGACTACTTTCTACACTGTAGACCAGGGGTGGGCAACTACAGGCCTTGAGGGCCAGTGTCCTGCAGGTTTTAGATGTTTCCTTGATCCAACACAGCTGATTCAAATGGTTAAATTCAGGTGCGTTGACCCAGGGTAATATCGAAAACCTGCAGGACACCGGGCCTCGAGGCCTGGAGTTGCCCACCCCAGCTGTAGACACATACTGAAGACATCAAATATATGAAGCAAGATATATGGAATCTTGTAGCAAAGAAAAAAATGATAAATAACTCAATAACACATGCATTGCCTTATATTTTAGATTCCTCAAAGTAGCTACCCTTTGCTTTGTTGACAGTGCTTTAAACCCTTGGCCTTCTCTCAATGTGCTTCATGATGTAGTCACCTGAAATGCTTTGCTGGTGACACTGTTGGGGATTTATTGAAAATTGAAGGCACGCTGAACCAACATGGTTACCACAGCATCCTGCAGCAACATGCTTACATAAATGTGCGTTAAATGCTGTTTTTCTTTCATCTCCTTCCTTTATCCTAACTAAATGGTAGGTATTATGGAGGTCCAATTTTTGTGAACATAGTAGCACCTTGGAGGAATTAGAGTAGGGAAAGTGGATATTTTTTAACCATGACTTTATTTAGGCCATGAAAGTCAAGGATGGAGCAATTTATCTTTCTTTTCTACAAAAAACAAGTCCCAACCAAAAGACCCATAGATGGACCCAGTGCTTGGCAGTTTGGCAGTGACTTACCCCAGTAATGATGTCAAGGAAATTAGTCTGAGTTATGGCCTGAGTTCTATGTGTTGTGTCCAGCAGACAGGGAGAAAGGTTCAGGAAGCGGAACGGGAGATAAATATGAATGAGCAGCAAGAGAGTGATCAATACAATTTGACTCCGGAATCAATTAAAGCTTTGAGGAAGTGCGTTTGACCGCTGACTGAGATTTTAGCTAGAAGCATGAGTCTTGGCATGTTTCCAGCAAACATGAAACACTAGAGACTTTGCCCGCCAATATCCCCATCGTTATTGGTGGGCACAACTTTTGGTTTGGAAAACCCCCATGTTTCTCTAACTCATCATCTTTCTCTAACTAACTCAGGCGTAGGTAAAGGCCTTTTCAGAAATTTGGGTGGCGGCGATGGCTGCAGAACAACAGGTGGTGCAGGGCTGTGACGAACAGGTAGGTTAACCAGAAATTCAGTTACATGTGTTTGCATCATACCTTTCATTTCACCCAAGTGAAGGGTGATTGTGTTCATTTCTCCTGAGATGTGCTGCAGCATTTCTTCGTACCAGCCCAGCTGTTCTTGTTGGTTTGCAAGGGCGCAACTCACTTGACCCGAGCC